ACCCTGCATCTGCAAAACAATGGCAAGTACCTTCAAAACATCCATTGTTATCAACAAAATCAACAGTATAAACTTACCAAGGGGCAAAGTTTCAACCGTGACTAAGTCGCGGGTAAATCGGATGTCGTAATTTTCTCATGAATCATCGATCTATTCATTTGATAAGTTTATTGGTTCATTTAGCATAGAAGAAGTAAAGCGAAGGACTTATCTCATTAAATGTTGGAGTGTTTAGATAAGACAACCAGGTTTGAAGCGTAAGAAATTGAATCCAGAAAGAGTAAAAATAAAAGGAGTCATTTTTTAAAAAAATTTACAAAGTAGCAAATTTTCAACAGATTAATGTTAGAAGTCTGTTATTCCTCAAATGATAAGAATATCAGTGGCTATCATACGCTTATAATGCAAATTGTTGATTGCCGCTGAAGTACATTTGAAAAAGTCTGCTCTAAATGGGGGTAACTCGAGACGTGGCATTACATTTCATTGTTTATAACGAGTGTTTGTGGAGAAGCTTCGCTCTATCATCTGGAAAAACAATCTCAGGAACTGCCGAGAGTTAATGGAATGCACTATAAATATTTTTGGTAGCAAGCTGAACTGAAAAAAGGAGAAATACTACTAAAGTCAAATGTAGAATCCTTCAAAAGATTCACCTAATTTTCAAAAATTTCAAGATATTTCTCCTGGCTGAGCTTCCAAATATGATTTGAAAGCCAACCATCATACACTTTTTGTGCACTGTTCTCAAAATTTACTGATCGTTTAAAAATAAGACCGAACTGGGCCAAAGGATAGCAAGAAAGTGCCACTTAAATAGAATGTTATTTATTACCTATTTGGTTTTTTCGCTCACAGTTGTATAAAAATCATAGTCTCCTTCATTATAATTAGCTGTGTCCGATTAATAGCAAAGATGTAAACGAGCACCTTTGGAATAACGAACATACATTTAAAAAAAATAAAGTCAAGGTTTCTTACATTTACACAACCTTGACTGTTCGTAGGCTAATGGAACCATTTAAGGGTCATCGTAGCAATTCAACTAAAATTGAACTTGAACCAGTTGTTCGCTTTTGAAGTTATTAGGTTTTCCTAAT